GAGAGAGAGAGAGGAGGGAGGAAGGGGAGGGAGAGAAGACACCCCCGGCACGGTACGACTCTTTTAGGGGCAAACCGCCCGTGAACGAGATAGCGTGCGTGCCGTAAGGATCGGCAGTAAACGTCCGCGTTTACTGTTCCCCTCCCTTTATTACCTGGGTCCCCGGGCATACGCGTTTTACGCCGAAAATCATCGCCCGCGAGAGAGCTTTATGAGACTCGCGAATTGCGGAAACGAGAAGCGAGCGAGCGCGGGAGCGAGGTTATCGGTGCTATTCTTTTGGATAGGATGGCGGGGCATCAATTCTGAAATCGTTTCGCGATTCGCGCGGACTGCGGTGATTGCCGCATTAACTCTAAAGTTTGGCGAATTCCTGGGGGAGTTAACGCGAGATTACGTTACGAGGAGGGCACGGAGAAAATACGAGAAAGAAATTGAGATTTTTTTTTTTAACGTTTGTTTTTCAGATTATATGTATGAAATGAAAATTGATCGTCGTATTAAACTGGAAAAGAAAAAAATAGATATTTATAAACATAATTTATATAATTGTTTAAACATAAAAAAAGCTTTCTAAATTTAAAAAAAAGATAGGTCCTTATTGATGCAACAAAAATACCCAATAGTATAATTCATGTTTATAATATAATAAATTTTAATTACATTTCACTTTTACTTGATCCTCATGTGATATTTCATTATACTTCGTATTTAATTATTTTCTCGGAGAGAAAAGTAGAATAATAAAATAAATTTGAGAGAAAAGGTGGAATCATAAATCTGCGCACAAAGGCTGAAATTCAGGCTTTTAGATCGCTCAACCCTGATGACACAAGCGACGTGCGCGAAACGAGACAAAGTTGCTGTGAACCAGGCAAGCTACTTGACGTTTAATAATGGGAACCGAGCAAAATTCGGGTTTGTAACAATGCCCGGAACAATCCAGGCCGGAGTGCTCGGCACGGTGAAATACAATAAGGGCACGTCGCCGTGAAGGAGACCGGTATTATTGGATAAGGGGAAACCTTTTACGGGACTGTCATCGCGCTGCGGCTTCCACGTCAAAGTGTACCTCACAATCGCGCGATTCCCTAACAATATGTGCTCGATTGTCGTCTGATCGCGTCTATCAACGTCGATTATCTCGTTCGTGTGTCACTGCCTCGTGATATGCTACATATTTGATTAACAAAGACGGGGGACAAATCTCGAAGATAAATTCGTTGGGGCGACGTGAAGATCTTGTGAACATCATGTGAACCAATTTATCCTATTTCAACATATATGAATTGTTCACAAAAATCTGAAATTCTCTTATTAGAGCTCACTACAGCTTTAATTTATATTTACCAGTTGGATGTGATATTTCACATTTAGTTTTTCTCTTATAATCCCGGTACTGAAAGGGGATTATGAAATAAGTATTTTAAAACATTTCGTTTCGGATAAGACTTAAGGTAAAACGGAGCGAGTTATAATTTCAAACGAAAATCAAATGATCTTACGTACTTCGTAGGACAGGGTGAGCGCCGTTTTCTCCTGCTTCAGCTGTTCGGCCCGGTGCTTCTGTTGCAGCAAACTCCGCGACGACTCCTCCATCCTGCAATAACAATCAGAACAGTCAGCGTGAGGAAGCTCGCGGATTTTAATCCCCGTTGAAAAGATCCTAATTGAATGAGCCATTGAGACCATTCTCGCAGCCTTCTCGGTAGCTTTCTATTGTGCTACCGGGAAATTTATTTGCTATCTCGTCGACCTCGCCTTTGCCTCGAAGAGCTTTGCTTCCGACAAAAAGAATTCTTCTCTCACAAGATAAACTCGGAAAGAAGATCGCTCTCTTTTTTCACTAATATTTCTTCTGTTCGTTATCTCGCGTTCGCTCTACGTAAGGATTTTTTTAAATTGTAATTAGAAATTGTCAAGTACAATCCTCTTTTAAATAAAATATTAAATTGCATTGTAGATACTTATTTTTAAGATATTTATTCTTCCGTATATACTTTCGAAGCTCGTTAATTACTCTCTAAACGCAATATTTTACTGACGTCCTCTTAACGTCCTCTTTCTAGATTTAAAGTATCTCTAAATGCATTTCATATTCTTTATGCAGGGCACCTTCATTTCCTCGGTGTCAATCTTGTTTCTTTTCTCGCATTACTCACGAAGGAGCAAATCGAAAGATTGGGACTTTTTTGTTTGGTGTACTTCCTCATGCGCGAACGCGCCACGGGGTTAATGATCTGATTAGGGATGCGAGGGCGCGGCTGAGATATGAAGCCGATTTAAGCTTTTCGAGGGAGGCTTTCGAGCGAGAGGTTGCCGCAGCGCCTGGCAACACCCTCCGTCTTCCCATCGGCGACCCCCCCCACAGGACAGATATCGTTGCTTATGTCCTTGGCGAAGTAACTTTCGAGCCAGTTACGAGTTTCAATTCGATTGTACTCCGTTGACATTTAATAAAGGTAAATTCACGGCTCACGCGCAAGGAAATTGCGATCGTCTAATTGGATAACTAAATATATGATAAGAAATTTAATAATATTCCAGCACGTTAATATATACGTTCTAATAAGTATTACCTTGCTTATCTATATAGATGTTCAAATCTTATATTTTAAATTTGTGAAATATATATTGTCGTTTTTTAATCATCGTTATAACTTTTAAGACAGTGTCTTCAATTTGGAAAAAAACAATAGGAATTATAGTAAACTAAAAATTCCTTGTATTATAATTTCTTAAATATTGTGAAAATATTTTTATTATAAATTAAACGATACTTTGGACAATATTAAATTATTCGCTAATGGTTCAACAGTTATTACATTGTTACAATTATTATTTTTATAAATAAATAATTATTGATATTATTGCACTATATCAAATACATTGAGATCATCGTGTCTAGAAAATATCGCGTGGGACTTATTTCGTTTTGCTGTTTTACATTTTCAGTCATAGGCAAAGAAGTACGAAAGACCGTGCGAGACCGTCGATCGATCGTCGAAGTAACGCTCGCAATTGCTGCACCCTTAAAACAGGGTATAGCTCCCCCAAGCAGCGCTCCCTCGCCCTTACCCTCTCTCCACCGACTTTCTACATCTCTCTGTTTTCGCTCGAAACACATGGCACGAGCAAGCCGGTCCTCATGATTTACAACTGTTGCTCGGCAAATTCGATTACGATGATTCTGGAGTACTGTGCAGCTTCGAATCACAAGCGGAAAGACACTCGTTATTCTTGCATAGCTATTTAAGAATATCTACGTAAATTACTCTTTCCTTCTTCAAAGATACTTATTTAATTCCTCATTTTTGTATTACACATTTAATTGTTTAAGTATTTGTTTCCCTTATTTTAATTTAATTTTAAAGAATTTCTGTCTCTATCGTGTCTTTAGAATCACTTCTTCCACTGAACCCAATTCCTTTCCCTTTATTTCCTTTATTCCTTACTTTTTTGTATTACACATTTAACTGTCTAAGTATTTGTCTCCTTTATTTAAATTTTAAAGTATTTCTATCTCTATCGTGTCTTTAGAATCACTTCTTCCACTGAATCCAATTCCTTTTCCTATTTCCTTTACTCCTTACTTTTGTATTATACATTTAAGTATTTGTTTCCTTTATTTAAATTACAAAGAATTTCTGTTTCTATCGTCTCTTCAGAATCACTTCTTCTAATTGAATCTAATTCCCTTCCCTTATTAAATCATGCATCGTCGATTGTACTTTTATCTCTGCATTGATATTATTTTAGAATTTAAATTTTAAATATCCATTTCTATTTCACAAAGCAAAGATTTTATCAAGTTTACATTTTCCATTTTTGAGGACGAATCTCCGACGTTAGGGCGTCGGTTTCTCTGGTTGCGCTATTGTAATTACTATTTACACATGTCGGTAGTCGCGTGAGTGACAGCGGCACGTCCCACGCACGCACGCACGCACGCACGCACGCACGCACGCACGCACGCGTAAGCTTCGCAAACTCAGAGCAGAATAAACAGGTATCGGTGTTCAATCGCGCGCGCGGCGTTAACACGATGCGCCCTTTGTGCGTCGACGTCATTATCATATGGAAATTGTCACGCCCGCCGGTTTTACGCGCGTATTGTCGCGTCGGGGACAACACGTCGCCCCGAACGTTCGTTAACTCGCCGTCGCCGTCGCGTCGAAACTTCGTCGGTCACGAGTCAACATTCGTTCTACAACGTGCACACGGGGCTGTGCCCCGAAAACTACAATCCGTAACAGCGTCATCGGGCGCCGGTGGAGCGGATGCGAAGTTCGGCGGCACGATTGTGCGGGACGAAGATTAATTTCCGGAGCGAGCGCTTCGAAAACGGCTCGCTCTGATATCCGCGAAATAACGCCGCGTTGCGTCAAATACAATGGCCGCATCTTCGCGTCTGCGTTGCTCTTCACGCCAGCGAAACTCGCTGTCACTACAATTGTAACACATGTCTGTCCTGTCTTTCTGTCTTCATTTCAATTTACATTTGCCACAACTAAAATATTATTTCGTTACACATGGGTGTATCCAGGTTTTTTTTTGAAAGGGAGAGGTTTTATCAATTTTGTTAACATACAAACAGCGTTAATGAATCGCTTCTTTTTTGGATAGTTAGAGCTTAGAAAATCTCCTTGTCGCTGATTTTGAATGAGAAAAATACTAGATTTTGTAAATCATTTCACTTTAATTTAACTTTTTTTTAAATTTCGCCTGGATACATTCACGTCATTACATTATCGCATGTCAATTATCGTTAATCTCGTTAATTGACATTGGAATTAATATAAGTTGATGCAAAACAAAAATTATTTTTTTACTAAAGTATATACTTTAATAGTTTGTAATTGATCAATGTTTAATTATTCGTTTCGATGTTATCGAAGATATAATTTATTCAATACGGAATTTCATAGAATATCTTATTGCTTGTAATGCCAAAGAAGTGTCGACCGAATGAATGCCGAATGAAGAATTTTTAAATCACTCGTCCGCGTGAGAGAAAATCTGAAAAGCGGAGAACATACGTGCACCACGTGAACAATTCTCTCATTCTCTCTCTCTCTCTCTC